AAGTCACAAGAAACACATTTATAGGCATGCATGTGATATGTGTAACTTCCCATTCGAGTGTTTGCATTTTTTTTTCCTTTTGTTGTCACATTTAGTGGCCCTCTTGGTGCCAGTTGTCTGACTTCATTGCTGGGTGTTTGCGCACATTTAAGCAAACATTGTTTAGTCAATATTGCTCTTCCTAGGCTGGTAAGATGCCAGCTGCAGACAATGTTCAGGTTTAAAGGGAATTCATTGTTTTTTAGAGATCAGCGTCCAAGTTGGGTTTTTTTTTTTTACAAAAGGAAAGTAAAATGTAAGCACTGCTCTGTACAGATAGTAGATGGTATTTCACATGTACGACTTTACGTCTGAATCACAGAGCCCTCTCACTGGGTGAAAAATCAAAATGCCGGGGCAGAGGCTTGGTCATCCGGGGGAGGGGGTTATTGTACCGCATGCTTTGTGATAGGGTTCTACCCTATTCTGTAAACTGTTAAAGGGCTTTTTCATATCCCCCTACCCCCCAGTACCAGTTCACCTTCAACAGAGAAGTATCAAAACTCCCATTGTTAACTGTTCTTTGAAAATACTAATCCCTCAGAACACATGCTGCTCCTCTGGCTTCATAATTTGTTGACCAAGAACATGCATGCAGGGAGTGAAGCCAGAAATCCTGATGGGTGCTTGTTTCTAGGCCCGTGCTGAAGCTACTGGATCAGCATGGCAGCATACATATTTTTCTCATTATAGGTGTACTTTAAAGGCTAGGTTTACTTTTCTGACAATGTTTCATGTTAAACCCATGTTTAGTTTGTAACATGAACCATGACCAGATTGCAGACCCCCTCCTGCCCCCCAGCTTACCTGAATCACAGAGTTTTTCCCCGCACAGAATACTGCTGGTGTTGAAATCTTTGAGCATGTGCATGGCACTGCCCACACAGCTGTTGACAGGATCTGTGAATGGAGAAACTACATGTCCTATCAGCCACCATGGCAGAGGGACTTACAAGGTTATTCACAAAAGGTGAAGAGTTTGGAGAAGGCGGGAGAAGTGAACAATCTAGGACAACATAGCTGAACTGGAAAGTGAGCTGAATTGGAGAATTGTACGAGATCAGCTATGTTGTCCTAGATTGGTCACTTCTCCCGCCTTCTCTAAACTCTTCACCCCTTAGTGAATAACCCTGTTAATGTTTCAATGGAATACAGGAGCAGTGACACCATTGCACTTGTAGTCTATTGACACTTCCATGTTACTGAATGCATGTACGGGAGGAACAGTCTGCAGGAGCAAGAGCATTGCACCCATGATCTACTGATGGTGATTGCAATGCTTTACTGCCTTCAATGCAAACAAATGTCTTTTATGAAGAAGTCCATTTATTATTTTTCTGTAAAAGGTGGAATTATCCTTTAAACCTCTTATACAAAATCCCACTGCAGCGCTTTCCATAATAATCTTGCTGAAAAAGCCAAGTGATCTGCAAAGGTCCTTCTGCCTTTTTGTGGCATTTTTCCCCATCTGTCTTTTGAAAACCGTTTAAAGACAATGAAGTTATCAAAACAGGGACAGAATTTGGAGCAGATGCCCATGGCAACCTATCAGCTTCTCTATCATTTCCAAAGCTTAACTGAGCAAATTGAAAATAGAAGCTGACTGGTTGCCATGGACAACTGCTCCAGATTTTGTCTACTCCGTTTTGATAAATTCCCCTCAGAAAGTTTAAATCGGCTAATAACTCCCATAATGCATTTCCTTAAATGCATTATGGGAGTTATTTTACCATGTGTTCACACAGCACATAGCTGTGAGAATGACGTTCGCAGCTCATTATCGCCACTAGATGGCGCGAATGAGCATCGGAGATTCCTATGCACTTCAAACGTCGTTCTCACAGCTATGCACCGGGCGAACACCTTATAAATCAGCCCTTTAGTATTACTTAGTAAAACAGGTTGGAATTTTTTTGTTACAAAAATACAATTTCCGCTTACTCTGTACGATTGTTTTCCATGTGCCTTTACTTTTTTAATATATAATAAAAAAAGGACCCTAACTTTTGTAAGGGAACTTTTTCCCTATGAAATGTTATGAAACATTTATTATCACCCCAATTTTTTGGTAAAATATAAAAGACGGGGTCATGTCGGGTAAATAGACACCAAACATGTCAAGCTTTACAATTGTGCGTGGCCGTGAAATCACAGAAAATGACCACACACAAAACTGGCCATAGGTGACGCTTTAACGTTTTTACCGTTCATCAGTTTCATGTTATCAGTAATTATGTAACGTGCGGCGTAATAGTTTTTTTTTGGGGGGGGTTTACACTAAGCGATATAAGGTATTGGTTCTACCTTCCATTGACACACATTAACAGTCCACACCAGTCTGTTGCGTTGCGCGCTGAAAAAAGTAGAGCAACGCAACGGACCGGTATGAACTGCTCCCATTAATTTTCAGTCGTCCTTACATGGCAATGGATGCCATTGGATCTGGTATGAATTGGGCCTAAAAATCTTCATTTTTGCCTCTATTCGCAGATCGAAGTTCCAGAGATTTGTAGTGCAAATGGCTCTGCGAATTGTTTATATATAAACCCTGAAGTCTCTTCTGCAATAAAAGGTTTCTTACCTGCCTGTTCAGTCTTCTTGACGATGTACACTGAACTGCACATGCTCAGCTCAGTGTACAATCCCGGCATCTGCCGGGATGGACGGACATCATCCTGGGGCAGCCAGTCAAGATAGCCAAAGATTCTGAACCCAACTTGATGTGTACTGTTTACTTTGAAGAAACCTTAATATATATATATATGTAGACCAGGTGCAGATGTCAACCCCAGCATGGGAGCTCCTGGACGTCACATCCCTCTGGCATAGGTTAGTCAACTTTATGCCAAGGACAGAACACCAGATGTACATGATCGTTCTTGGCTTCTGCTGGGATAATTGATCATCATCCCAGGGTGACCAGTCAAGGTGGTTGAAGATCCTGAACACTGATTGGAGGCAAGTATAGTTCCACTATAAGTCAAAGACAGAACATCAGATCTCCATGTTTATTCTTGTGTCATTATCAAAGCAAATAGATGACATTCAAGCCACTTTAATTTTCTACAAGGTCAGCAATTGAAGCCTCCAGAAGAGTTTTTTATGGATTCTTGCCAGCTCCTGTTCTGGAGAGACTGATGTAGACCTTACCATGTGCTTGTCTCAAACTGACTGCTAATGCATTATAAACACCTGACCAGTCTCAGTTGTAATAAGAAAATCAGCAGCCCGGCAATCCTTTATTCTGATGAACTATTTGAAAGCATCAGGCCACAAATGAAACCCTTGTTGCAGAGGATGCTGGTGATGTGGCTTTAAGCTCTATGCACAGTTCTGAGAAAGGCAGGGGAGCAATCACACAAGTGGGAATTTAGATTTCTGGTGGCATATTATGCACTGTAAAGCTGGCCATACACCTTACAACCATCGCATGCTCATTCTCATCTGTAATCCTAATGAGCAAAACAGTGACGTTTCCACTAGAGGTGCACTGAAATGAAAATTTCCAAACTGAAATAAAAAAAAAAATGTCAGGCCGAAACCAAAAATGTTTTTTATTTTAACTTTTTCAAAGTTGTTTTAATATTTTATTTTTTACAAACTTTTTAATTTTATATTCATTTTTATGAAATATTTTAATTTTTTACTTTACATTTAGGGGCTTTGGGGATATATTAGGGGTCTAAAAAGACTCCTGAGAATTCCCTTTTAAAATAGAAAAAGAGATTGAGGAGACAGAGTCCTCAATCTCTTTTTCTGTATCCCCTGTTATCAATGAACAGGAATCCTCTATACGGAGTGTTCCTGTTCATTCATAACATGAGGACATTGTGTGTTTACTATAACCACAACTATGAATGAACAGGAGGTGATGTAGATCACTTCCCATTCATTCATAATTGAGGATATAGTAACCATACTCTGTCCTCAATTATCTACAATAACTCAGCAATCACTGATTGCTGAGTGTTTGTACCGGCTCTCCTTCCTGACTGCTGTCACAGGAGGCTGAGCGACCGAAGCTCAGCCTCCTGTGACAGCGCTGGCTGTCTACGCCCACACCGCTCTCCCGATCTGTGACAGGAGGCTGAGCGGTGCGGGGAGGAGAGGCGCCGGGCGCTCACAGCGCTCTCCTCCCACAGCGCTCGGCCTCCTGTCACTCTCTGTGTCCCAGCGTGGAGGAGAGAAAGAACGGATGCACCGCTGTATCGGCCAGAAAATGGCACTTTCGGCATTATGCTAATAGTGCCATTTTGGGCCGATATATCAGTGCATCCCTAATTTCCACTGCTAATTACTCCTCAAGAAAAATTCATTTTTACATTTTGTATTGCTCAATAATACAAGGATATTGCTTTGCAAGTAAAATATTCACTTTAGGTTCTCAGCAACGCACATACGCTTTTTTTTTTAGGCATCTCCTTCTGCTCGTATACCTCTACCTCCTGTATCAGTACAGAAAGGTTACAATAATGTTTTGTTTTTTTTAGTCTTGGCATCTAAGCGTAGATATGCTCTATCCATTTTCAGGGACACAGCCACACACAATTGTTGGCAAGCTAATCTTGTGATTCCCATGAAAGACTCACTTTTCAGCTACAATGACAGCTGCCCCACACTGGCAGTTACTGTATCATACACATGTCTTAAATTCTGTAATCAGCAGCCAGCAGGTGCTGTATCGCATTCAGCACACCACATCCACTCAATACAGACATCCCCAAACACACAGAGGCTGGTTTTTGTCAAATGTTTTATTGAGTGTAGACATCTGGAGTACTGTAAAACATGCATTATCTGTAGATTCAAAAAAAGAGCCAGCCACATTGTCCTCACTGTCAGATGTGTCAGGCTTGGCATACATGATGGAGATTAATGAAGTATCATGAGACTAGAGCGAGTCCTGAAAAGCATCTATGATTTCAAGTAGGATCTTAATCATTTGGAAAGCACATTTACTGAACTTGGATTTTCACAGTGAGGTGACACGTATCGTTTCCAAACAAACAGCATTTATTTGGTGGGGAGGGAGAAGAGGAGAGATGGATCCCGGGCATTTCAGAACAGAAATATTCTAAGTACAAATAAAAAAAAAAAAAAAGCAGCCTTTCCATGTTTAAAACTATTTCTTTTTGGGTTGTTGAGGTGTATTGAATTTAAAGAAAATAATATCTCCGTCTTCTACCGTGTAATTCCTCCCTTGTTGTCTGTATTTTCCTGCAGCCTGTAAAAGACACAAGATATACAGAGGAATGTTAATTCTTGGTGGACTCAGAACAATGCAGGAAATGTTTATATATCAGTGAATCTGACATTCGCCAGACTGTGCAGGTGAATCTTCCTGCTCCATGTGTTTTAGGTGACAGTGATTGATTCAGCACCAGTGAATGTTGGTGAAAGTCACATTCTCTCCTTTATAACTATGACCCGACGTTATGTACAGACATTCCCTGACATGAACACTCCATCCGTGGCTTTGTCTTTTAAAATGGAACTCTACCCTTTCATCGTGGAACGTTGCCACATGCGTATACAGTTTCCTAAGATACATACACTTTGTTTGGAAATCCCCGCAAATTTGTACAATCTTGGAACCTTATTTAAATCTGTACTCCTTGAGTTAAACAGGGTGGCATTAAATGAACCTGAACTTTACTGATTACATTGCTAATTAAAAGTGGAGATTTACTATGCAGGAGAAATGTAAAGCTGTTGTTACTTATCTACCCCATACTTCCACTTATCTGCCACCAGGAGCTTTTAGCTAGGCGCTAGTATGCACAGCATGGTGATGTCTGGTCTTTTCTCCCTCTTTTATAGGTCCTCTTAAAGATTCCGATTCTTCACTGGCCGGACCCAGATGTAACTCACTTGGGCAAGAATTTGGCTTAGCCTGTGCATTGAGCTGCGCATGTGCGACCTCATGTACAGTAAAATTACTGACAAGCAGGTAAAAGCTTCTATGGCAGAAGAGACTTAAGGTGCCCGTACACCTTGCAATTATCGTACGATATCCCGCGATCGTACGATAATCGCAAGGTGTATGGAAGGCGTGCGACCGTTTTTACTGTACGGTCGCACGTCTTTTGTCTAACCAGCATGCTAGAAAACCCGCCGAGAATCGTACGATTGTAGGCGGGTTTCTAGCCTGCTCGTTCAACAACTGCGGAACGGGCCGATGTGCGGGCGGGCTTTCGATGATCGCAAGTACGATCCCTTCATCGTCGATGTTTGAGCCTGATGAAGGGACCCTGCGTGGCCTCGAAAGCGCTAGTTTCTACTTTTGACAAATTGTTCATTAAAATGAGCAATTGGAGATCCACAAGGATTTTCGGTGTGCCGGTGATATTTTCACAACTATTCTATGCATACAGCGGTGCCATCCGCAGTCATTACAAGCACCCTCCCCATCACTGGGAATATCCGGTAAGGAGTGCAGCAAGATCCTCTTCATCATCATTTCCCTCCACACCTCCCAAATAATAAGATTATATTGATTTCAGGAGCCATGGATTTATAATTTCAGCATTCTACCGAGGACAAAAGAAATCCATGTTATGATGTACAAGGCAACAAAAGTGATCACTAGGCAGCTGTAATATTACCGGAACACAGAAGAATGAATAACCAGGACAGACACACATACATCGGCTATACTAATAGATTTACAGCAAAGACTTATATGTTTATATTCCCAGCTCATCCACAGACATCTGTGTTGTCAACAGCAATTGGCAGGCACAACTTCCAAATGACATTAAAGGAGGAGGATACCATTGCCAAATTCTACTTCTGAAAATACTACTTGCCTGGCTGTCATGCTGATGCAGAGGCTTTGAAAATTTCAAGCTACTGGCCTGGAATAAGCATGTAGATTAGGAGTTCTGACTTGTCTCTGGCTTTCTATTCTGCCTGCTTGTGCCAGGTCAGTGACTTGTCTACTTCTACTTATGCTGAGGACCGCTTGAAGTCTCGGGCCTCATTTGTGATCAGAGTTGCTCAAACTGTTTACAGTGCTACTGGTCTCTGTAGAGATGACTAAAAACTAGAAAGATAAATATGAATAGTTGTAATAGGCAACAGGCATTGTTTTCTGCAACATAAATGTATCTATGCAGCCATAACTCTGTGTATTAGATACATTGTATGCATTATTTTACGATCATTGTTGTTATATATGGTTTACGAAGTGCCAAGTTTGAGACAGTACAGTCACAATACAATTCCAGACAAGAGGGTTAGGAGAGCTTGTGAGAGCTTACAATCTAAAAGGGAAGGGCAAGTGATAACAAAGGTAAAAAGGGATGGGTGGCTAGAGAAAGTGAAATTTCAGTCATTACGTAAGGCGGGATAAGCTTCCCTGAAGAGACGAGTTTTCCAGGATTGTGAAAAGATGGACAAAGTAGAAGAACGGTGGAGAGATTGGGGTAGGGAGTTCCAGAGCATGGGTAAGGCTCTGAAGAAGTACTGGAGGAGAACATGGGAAGAGGTGAAGAAGGAACTGAAGAACAGGAAGTCTAGGGAGGAGCAAAGAGGATGGTTTGGGAGATATTGTGAGGCAAAGCTGGTGATGTAGATGGTTGCAGAGTTGTGAATGGCTTGGCATGTTACGAATAGTGTTTTGAATTTTATATGTTGGGTGACTGATAGCTAGTGCAGGAAGCGTTTGAAGACACTGTTGGTAATGTGAATATGCCTAGCAGCAGCATTCATGATAGACCAAAGAGGTAGTGGGCGGGGGGGGATAGAGGTAGTCCAATGAGAAGAGAAGGGGAAGTGCAGTGGTTGAGGCGAAAGAGAACAAGGGAGTGAATTAGTAGCTTGATTGGGGTGTCATGTGTGTCAGCAAGAATTAAATCTGAATTTCTTTAAAGCACATGCCTTCAATCAGGTGCCTAGAATAATAAACAAACAAAATGTACTGGAGAGGGGAGGAAGACGTTGTGTTTCATTACTAGTGAATTTATAGGTTATATCTTGCTATATATTAAATTTGCCAACAGAATGGCATCCCCTCTACAGCAAGAGAGACAGATGTCCTTGAACTACAGGGGCCCAGGTGACATTTAATATGGAGCAGCTTTGTTTTGGAAACGATACAAGCCCTATGAGTTCACAACAGTAATATTGTTAGGCTGGGCAACCCAGGCACACAGCATCATGCATTTCCATGGTGCAGGCCGGCTGTCCCCTAGCACCATAACAACCAATGATGCCATGCGTTCAGGCAGCCCACACCATTGAAATGCATTACGTTGTGCTGTCAAACTGCCTACCACCATTACTTCATTTTTTTTGCTTATACACCTAAATGTCCTGGCAAGTACCCTAGTTTGGCAACGAGCCTTACCAAAAATGCATAGCGACATTACCTGTTATTCATTGTGAATGGCGCCCCAACTCATTTTACAGTAAAGCCCATAGCAGAATGCATACACCATTTTTACAAAAGGGCCATAAATGTCATCTGTTCGGATGCGTTGGCAGCCTACTAATAATGAATGGGCTGCCTTAGTACAACGCACATTAAAATGTGCCATAGTGTGCATCAATGCATCATAATGGAACACTTAAGTGTGAATGGGCCCTGAATAAAGTGTAATGAATTCACAAAATCTATTTAAAAATTGAGCTGGTAAATAATATGTGTAATACTATGTGTACTCCAGCAACAATAGGACTCCTCGATGTCTTCTCTAAGGTTTGTCAAGCATGTATAAAACATATAAATAAAAAAACAAATCCAACATGGGACGTGCATGGTGTGTGGTTTATTTTTATTCCCTTGATATACGATTTGGTTTACAATTAATTAAATGTAATAGTGTTCCTTTAAATGCTCAAGAGACCATTTAATCCATTTCCTTTGCTAACTGAAACAACTGGTAGAAAAAATCAATACCCATTTGTGAATCTCTAGTATGTATTAAACAAGACGTCTAACCGGTTCATTTGCACTTGAAAGCAGCCATCTGTAGTAGGCAGCTTTGCCTAAGCAGATATGATTGCTAATAATGAAATATCCCTGTAGACTACAAAGCCCACACAGCGCTATTCAGTGTATAGTTCACAGCGCTGGCATTAAATTACTTATGCTGTGCTGCTGGTTCCAGGCACAGGAGAATCAAACTTGAAATGATCAACCCTGATAGCGCGGAGCAGACACCCTTCGCTGGGAAACTCGCAGGCTAAGCGCCATACAAAGCCACGCTTAACGGATATGTAGAAAATAAATAAATAAACAAGACGCTCCTTTCATCCCAGTGTCAAATCTATTTAAAACATTTCAATTCATTTTTTTCCCCTCTCCCCCCCCCCCCAAACGTTGGGCGATT